CCCCAAAACCCCAAAACCCCGTACCACAACATTTAATACCAATCTTAATATAATTTGAGAGGAAAGATATTATAGAAATGTTAATACTAATTCACAACTTGATAATTATTATTTACAGATTTACAATTAGATTGGATTTAACATTCACTTCTGGAAAGGTGTTTTTTTGTTCTACTATTCTTTCGATAGCAACTGAGGAATCCTAAGTTAAGTGGACTTCTATTCCTCATTGTCTGAATCATTCCAATCCATTGCTTTTAATTTCTATCGCAGTCTTTCCTTTAGTTTCTCCTACTCTATTAACTTTCTATCTTTATCTTGCAAGAGTTTTAGCTCAAGGGAGCTTTTATCATGAGATCGCATGATTTCAGAATCATTAAACTCTGAGTTGTTATCATTTAATTTCCATTTCTGCCTTTACATGTTATAATTACTTGTTTGCCTATAAGATAAATCATTTGTGTCTTGTCTAAATTCAGTTTCAAAATTCTGCATTTTATATTATTGATTTTATTACTATATTTATCTTCCAAGTTGATCTTCTTGCTGATATCTTTAGGAATTTACTTATTGCTATTGAATAGGCATATTTAAAGTTCGCTACTAGTTTCTTTAGATTAGATTGCCAAAGTTCAAAGCACTCATTCCTGAATTGAATTGCTACTCTTTTTACTGCTACTGCTTCAGCATCATCATTTAACTCTCCTGTGAATTGCTAGGTATTTGACTCGAAAATCCTCCAAGTTATGCCTGAGGTCTTTCAATCTAAGGCAATTACTGTTGAGATTTCATATTACTATTTTAGCCTGTTAAAGGTTTTCTTATTATTTAACCATTGCTCTTACTATTCATCAATCCAAATTCTATTTTCTTTTATTACTCGAAGCTGGTTGAAGGAGATTAAAATTAGATATTGATGTTTTGATTGGCAGATGATTAACTTGACGAATTTTATGAATGTTCTGAACCTCTTAGTGGTGATTTGCTTCCATTAATAGTTTTTCTAATAATGTAATTTGCTGACTCTCTTTACATATAAGACTTTCTTTGTAAACTTTACAAGTTTTATTAATCATAAAAGAAGTCTTCATCGCTTTTTTATGGGGTTATGGCTATTTTTTAAATTGGCACTTTAATCTAGCTTAATTATTGATTTAAAATCTCTTGTTACTTGAGTTCCTCCTATTACTTAAGTTTCTGCTAGTTATCCAGTTTGTTCTAGATCTTTATAGTAATAAAAGCAGCGCTAGCTATATTTTAGAGTTATTGCTAAATAATTTCAACATATATATCTTCTAGGATTTTTTCTTAGAGATATTTTTCCTCCTGAAGTTACATAAACGAGGATTCTAATAGATTTCTAATTTAATCATCAACCATGCCTGCAATAGTTTGCTTGATGATCTTATCTTTTAAATATTCCTACTGAATTGAATGAATCGCTATCTCTTGCAAAAAATCTGCTACTGTTTATAGCATCATATTACTATGGAACCGCTTAAATAGTTAATCTGATTGTACTGAATTTGAAACAATACCGGATATCTCAGCATCAATCAGTTGAGCACTGATACCTTCGGTATCTCTGACAAGCTCGGTTTCAAACCTAATGTTGTTTTCAGTTATTTCTTTGATCATGCTGTTGAGTGTAGCCTCAAAGTTCTCCTCGGTTATTTAATCTACTGTGTGAAGAGTTTGTTCATGCTCAAGACAGCCGAATGCAAGTGAATTCACCTCCATTGAGAGGAATTTTTCTATGAAATCATCTTAGACTTACGGAAGTGCAACCTCAAAGCTGATCTGTTAGATACACTCCTCCAGTACTTTTCGTAATGCAGAACTCTATTCTTATTCGACAATCTCAAGAGATAATTCGTCCAATCTATCCTCAATTAAGTCCTGTATCAGAGACTAAAACAGCAATTTTTGTTCATTTTTTACCCATTCTATCTCGTATTCTTCATAGATCTAGTTAAATGCTTCTTAAAATTTCTCTCTTTAGACTTTAAATTACTCCTATTTCTCATGCAGTAACACTTCATCCATGTTTAGCTTTCTACTACCTTTTTTAACTCCATTATATATACCATCTGATGTTATTGAAGTCCTCTCACCCATATATCCACTACCAAAATTATTATTGTAGCTGTGTCTGATAGAGTTTTGTAAGAATTCCAAAGTTTGTAATTTATGTACCTCGGTTGATCTTTAAACGAATTCAGATTCCTGCCTCTATCTGAGAGCATCTTGAAACTATTCCTCTAAGGATCTTTTGTCATTACTAAGGTGCTTGTTTTTCTGCAAACGATCCCATATCTCCTACTCCTCCTTTGTTCTTTACTGATTTGTATTTATCATGTTCTAATAAATTTCAACAAGATTTTTGACTTATTTTGCACCAGATTCCTCAGCATTCTAACTTGAAATACTATCCCTCATTATATCATTATTCTTATGCTATAGAGCACTTAATTTTACATTTGATTCTATTGACTCAATAAGCTAATTATACTTACATGGCTAGACAGGCTTCTTACTGAATATGTTACGAAGTTCATTGACTGACTTAGCAGGCTCCTAAATGATTGCCTTTATCTTTTGATCAATGTTGTCACTCGCCTGAAACATTATTTAGGTAAAAAATTTATATACCCTTGGTTAGTTGTTCGCTAATTACTGGAAGAACAAGATGTTATTTTAAACATTATTGTTATTAAGATTTGCATCCTCTTTTGACTCTGCCTCTATTATATTTATCTAAGGTTTGCCCTTATCTTTTTTCTATTCCATTTTCCGATAAGAGTATTTAGAATTAAATAATTTATACATAATTTAAATTTAATCAAAGCACTATTAATAATTTTAAATTATTTCTATTCGAGGGGTTTTGGGGTTTTGGGGTTTTGGGG